AAAATTATTCAAGAAAGTGGTGGATATAAAATGCTGTGCACCGATTTCCTTTAGATAAGAATTTAGCCACAAACACAGAGGAACATTTGTAGAGAACTTACGTGCCCAGCTCTGTGCTACCTTCTTACATATTTCATTTGCTATGACACCTCTATAATTAGTAGCATTATATTTCTGTATTGTTGAGACAACTGAGGCTAGTGGGCTTATCCAAAGTGGTATTCCTAGGGAATGTCCCAGCTGGACTTTATTTCAGGCAGTCACTCTCTAGAACTAATGGTCTTGTCCCCTCTGCCAGCTCTCCTATATCCTTCTATGTCTATTAAGAAGGACATAGGCTGGGCATGGTGATACACTTCTATAATCCCAGCACTTTAGAATCAGGAGCAGGAGGATTGAAAGTTTGAGGTCACCCTGGGCTACCTATTAAGACCCTGCACCAAGAAACAAAACAAAGGCCTAAAGAACATAGCCCCATATGCATCGTTAAGGCGTGCTCTCCAAGAAACCATCCAACCTCCAAGACATGCAGTCAGCCCTGTGTATCCGTGGCCAGGGCTCAGCATCCTTGGATTCTACTGGATCCAGTGAAAAATCACAGAGTGCTGGGGAGTGGCTCAAGTGGTAGAACACCTGCCTAGTAAGCCCAAGGTCCTCAGTTCAAACCCCAGCACCACCAAAAAATAAATAAATTGAAAAGAATTGCACCTGTACTGAGCATGTACAGATTGTTTTCCTTTGTCATTATTTCCTAAACAATGTGGCATAACAGCCATCTCTGCAGCACTTACATTGCTGGCGATGATTTAAGGTGCACAGTGGGACAGCGTGGGCTCCATGAAGACACTGCACCATCTCATTCAAGGGACTGGAGAATCAGGAGATTTTGGTGTTTGGGGGGCTCTGGAATGAATCCCCCTCAGGTACTGAGGAATGACTCTACAGCTAAACAAGGTGTCAGACAGTGTGTACTATATGCTGGGGTGTTTTGTTTTTGTTTTTGTTTTTTGGGTTTTTTTTGTAGTAGTGTTAGGGTTTTGAACTCAGAGTCTCATCCTTCCTAGGCAGGCATTCAACCTCAATCCCTTTCCTTTTTGCTTTCATTATTTTTCACATAGGGTCTCATACCTTTTCCAAGAGCAGCTTTTCCACCATGATCCTTCTACTTCCACCTCCTATATAGCTGGGATTAGAGGAATGTACCACCATGCCTGTCTTATTCTTTGAGATAGGGTCTTGCTAACCCTTTTTTGCCCAGGATATCCTGGAGCCATGATCCTCCATCTCTGCCTCCTGAGTGGCTGGGATTATAGGTCTGAGCCACTATACCCTACCCTAGAAACACATACATGCATATATATGCATATCTATATTTATATATGTATGTACACACACATATTGGCAGTACTGGGGTTCGAACTCAGGGACTCATGTTTGTTAGGTAGGTGGTCTTCTGCTTGAACCATACCCACAGCTCTTTTTTTTTTTTTTATTCATACGTGCATACAAGGCTTGGGTCATTTCTCCCCCCTGCCCCCATCCCCTCCCTTACCACCCACTCCACCCCCTCCCTCTCCCCCCCACCCCCTCAATACCCAGCAGAAACTATTTTGCCCTTATTTCTAATTTTGTTGTAGAGATAGTATAAGCCGTAATAGGAAGGAACAAGGGTTTTTGCTGGTTGAGATAAGGATAGCTATACAGGGCATTGACTCACATTGATTTCCTGTGCGTGGGTGTTACCTTCTAGTTTAATTCTTTTTGATCTCACCTTTTCTCTAGTTCCTGTTCCCCTTTTCCTATTGGCCTCAGTTGCTTTTAAGGTATCTGCTTTAGTTTCTCTGCGTTAAGGGCAACAAATGCTAGCTAATTTTTTAGGTGTCTTACCTATCCTCCCTTGTGTGCTCTCGCTTTTATCATGTGCTCATAGTCCAATCCCCTTGTTGTGTTTGCCCTTGATCTAATGTCCACATATGAGGGAGAACATACGATTTTTGGTCTTTTGGGCCAGGCTAACCTCACTCAGAATGATGTTCTCCAATTCCATCCATTTACCAGCGAATGATAACATTTCGTTCTTCTTCATGGCTGCATAAAATTCCATTGTGTATAGATACCACCTTTTCTTAATCCATTCGTCAGTGCTGGGGCATCTTGGCTGTTTCCATAACTTGGCTATTGTGAATAGTGCCGCAATAAACATGGGTGTGCAGGTGCCTCTGGAGTAACCTGTGTCACAGTCTTTTGGGTATATCCCCAAGAGTGGTATTGCTGGATCAAATGGTAGATCAGTGTTTAGCTTTTTAAGTAGCCTCCAAATTTTTTTCCAGAGTGGTTGTACTAGTTTACATTCCCACCAACAGTGTAAGAGGGTTCCTTTTTCCCCACATCCTCACCAACACCTGTTGTTGGTGGTGTTGCTAATGATGGCTATTCTAACAGGGGTGAGGTGGAATCTTAGTGTGGTTTTAATTTGCATTTCCTTTATTGCTAGAGATGGTGAGCATTTTTTCATGTGTTTTTTGGCCATTTGAATTTCTTCTTTTGAGAAAGTTCTGTTTAGTTCACTTGCCCATTTCTTTATTGGTTCATTAGTTTTGGGAGAATTTAGTTTTTTAAGTTCCCTATATATTCTGGTTATCAGTCCTTTGTCTGATGTATAGTTGGCAAATATTTTCTCCCACTCTGTGGGTGTTCTCTTCGGTTTAGCGACCATTTCTTTTGATGAACAGAAGCTTTTTAGCTTTATGAGGTCCCATTTATCTATGCTATCTCTTAGTTGCCCCACAGCCCTTTTTTGCTTTAGTTATTTTTCAGATAGGGTCTCACGTTTTTATCCATGACTGGCAATCCTCCTACCTATCCCTCCTGCATAGCTGAGACCAAAGTCATGTACCACCATGCCTAGCTTGTTCTTTGAGATAGGCTGGCCTGGAACCACAGGCCTCCTGATCTCTGCCTCCTGAGTAGGTAGAATTACAGGTGTGAGCCACCACTCTCAGCCCTGTGTGTATATTTGTAAATTGTCTCTGGAAAGTCATTCACGTTGCCTTGAGGGCATCCTTTTCTCCTTTATGAATAACCTATTTTGCAATGGCTGTATGGGGCCCTGTGGGACAGAGTGACAGAGTGACCTACATTTTACTGTCTTGTCCTCTAGATTCTTTTTGAGTTGTCAACACTACACAAATGTTATTTTTAAATTCAGTTTAAAATGACCCTGTTAGGAACTAGTGAGAAAAGTAATATTTCTTAACAATTCTATACATGTAAAAACTTGGCTTTGGATACATTATATCTATCTGTATGTTTTAAACCAGAAAATATCTTCACACCAGGTAAGAAAGAGCACACCCTGATCCAAGACTCTGGGGTGCTGGTCCTGACTGGGCCCTGATCAGCCCTGGGGAAAGTACTCAGTCATACTAGGCCTGAGTTTTTTGAGCTGTAAAACAAGAAGTGTGAATAAGTTGCCTTCCAACTTGAAAAAAACAGCAACTCCTAAATAAGTTGTAAAGAAGTTCTTTTTTTTCAGAGATTAAATGCATGGCTAAAACTAACTGGGTTCATGAAAAACAGCAGCCATCTTGGTTCTTGGTGGGCAAAAAAAAGACACATGCCTGCTTCACGTATTACCAGTTGGGGACAATAGCCTGGTCTTGTAATGAAAGATACTAAGAACAAGCAATTGATCTTTGGCACAAAAGCAGAATATCCTGTCTGTAATGCTTCTGTAGAAACATTTCTTAATACATTGATAGTGTTATTGAAGTATGGCAAAGACTTTCTGTAACTGACCTCTAGAAATCTCTGAAGCAGAATTTATGGTAATCTTGGATTGCATGAATTATAATGGAGGTCAGCAAATCTTTTCTGGAAAGGACCAAATAGTAAAAACTGTATGCTTTATGGGCTATACATTCTGCATCGTAACTACTGATCTCTCCTCATGTGGCCCAAGAGTAACTGCAGATAATATGTAAATGAATGGGTATGGCTGTGTACCAATAAAACTTCATTTACCGAAGCAGATGTTGGGTGACATTGGCCCATGGGTTGTTACTTGCTGACCGTTTAATTATAATAAATTCTTGCCCTAAATTTTGCTTTGCACGCTATCCCAAGATAAGTTACCTAACTGCCTAATTCTTGAATTTGGAAATAAATTTTCATTCTACCTCTCTTACTTTCAATTATTCTTTATGTGTAACCGATTTTGCAAATACCACACTCTACTCTTTACCCTGATGCTAACCATATTTGAGTTTTACAGCTTGATTTCCTTATTTTGCTTTCCTCTGAATTTGTTTCCTGTAGACAGTCAGTCATAGTTGTTTCTCTTGCATTCCCTTGTGTGTGTTAGCATTTTTACATGACCTTAACCTCACTCTGAAACTCTTTTGCTCAAATATCTTTCGTACCTAGGGAATTGTGGTCAGCCTTGTTTAAAATCTTCAGGATATGATTGGTTAACCTCTTACAAAATGTAGTCTTCCTTTTTTAAGTGCAGCTTGACCACATTTAATAAGCCACTCTCCTCAAAGACCAAATAGAATCTGGAGGCAGAATCTGTCTTGGCAAGTCACTTGTAAAGATGGATGCTGGTCTCTGAACTTAGTACCTTCCTGGAGAGGCCCCTGCCTTAATCAGAGAATCAAAAGCACCCCTTACTTGTGTGGTATCACCTGGCTCAATTCTAGACAATTCCCTTTCAACCTTGACCCCAATCACATCCTTGTTCATTTGAAGCCCCTGCAATTGTCTCCCTTCCTTCTCTCCTAACACTCCCAAATTCCAAAACTCCACCTGCCATGGACAAACTTGATGTTGGCAAAGCTCTCCCTTGCTGCATGAAGGCTGATGGATTGTTGAGATTTACTACATGCTTTAGATTCACTGCTTTTCCTATTCAGCAGTTTCACTGTAGCCCCAGATGAAGGTGATTTGTGTGATCCATCTTGCTTTATGTCTCACTTGACATTCTGCCTTTTTCATGACAGGTTGCTGAATGCTATAAAGCCAGGACTTGTTAAAAAGATCAATAGATTGCCTACTCCCATTGCAGGATTGGTGAGTATCGAGAATTGTGATTTATTTCCCAATATTCCCTTGCTTCAATGTAAGGGTCACAGCAGTGTCATTTATCATGCTTCTCTCCTGCACTGTATGTATTCTGCTCCAATGGGAACGCATTGAATCCATTAAACTAAGAGGTCACTTCACAATGCAAAATTCCAGTGATATCTAAATGGCATCTTAATCTTTGTTTGTATTTTCCCATGAGTGATAAAGTCCTTCAGTCTTAAAAAGGTAAATTTGTTTTGGGGTGAAAGGGTGATAATTGGGCTGCCTTCAGGGAGGAATGTGACTTTCTCGTTTCAGTGCTCACAGCACTCCCTTACTGGGGAGGGGAGCCTGTAGAGAAAAAGGAATTTCAAGAGAAAATAGCACTTTTGTAAGAAATTGCTCCTTTTAATATTAAAATGCTACTTTGGTTTAAATACCACAGTTCCAACTATTTGTAGGTCTACCTGTTCAAAAGATACAGTGGGGCACTAAGGGAATCCAGTGTTGTTGGGAGAAGTGTTTAAACAGAGTCCTTGCCTTTCTGAGCCTGCTCAAGTAAAACCACATTTACTTGTGATCAGAAGCAGAATATCTTTTTTTGGAGGTACTGGAGTTTGAACTCAGGGCCTCACACTTGCTAGGCAGGCACCCTAACACTTGAGCCACTCCATCACTCTGCCTGGTAGCTCTTTTTTGTGTTGGGTATTTTTGAGATATGGTCTCCCCAGCTATCTGCCCAGGCTGGCTTCTAACCCTGTTCCTCCTGATCTCTGCCTCCTGAGTAGCTTAGGATTACTTATAGGCGTGAGCCACTGGCGCCCAGCTGCAAAGATATCTTTTTCATGCATCAGTATGTTTTATAATTCTTGGCAACTTATTTTAATTATTTAATTGATGTTGCCTTTCAAATAGAAAAATGAAAAATGTGAATGACCAGAAAGGCAACTGCATCTTAGTTCTGGAAGGAACTTGGCACACGTGTGCACACAAAGCCAACAATGTATGTGGCCTGGTAATGACTTAGGATTGTTTCTATTCTGATGGCCTTCTAGGGGTATGTTTTTGTAGAAAACAAAGAGAAAAATGTCAAGAATTTAGGCAAGATCCTACATAGACCTTACTGATTGTTTTACCGTTTCTTAGTCCTATTACAATGACAAGTTAAAATTAGATGTGACAAGAAACCATTGTGTTTGAAAACTGTGGAGTCCTAGTAGGAAGGAATATGGTGTCAGCAAGATGTTTTATTTTAAGAATTGCTATTTCTATGGATGTCATTTATTTCTAATATTGGTTGGTAGTGAGTTGGTGATTAGCCAATAAAAATCCTTCTAATTTTATTTGTCATAAACATGTAATCAAATAAATTAATAATGGATAGATAGGTCAATTTAAGCAGAATAGAACTGAGTGATTCTCAAAATAAATAACCAAGGACTGGAGGCAGCTCAAGCAGTAGAGAGCCTGCTTAGAAAGTGCAAAGCCGTGAGTTAAATCCCAGTACCCCTCCCCCCCCACAAACTAATATATGTGTATTATATATTATATTAGTATGTACATAAGTAATAATTTTTAGAACTTTTCATTAAATCCATCTCTTTCAAATGTTAAAGCCATGGTCTTAATGATTCTGACAAGTGTCTGTTTGGCCCCAAGCCTGTGGCATCCCCTGACTTTGAAGCCCTAGGGTTTGATGTTACAGGAGCAAAACTTGCAGCATAAAGTCAAGGAAGGCCCCAGGGAATCCCTGTGAATAGAAGCAAGTAGCTGTATGTCCAGTAGCTAAGGGACAAAGTGTTGAAGACTTAATTTAAAATGTGCATCCTAAATGATTTTGGTAAAATTACAGGCTTGAGGCACATGCATTTATATTATTTCTTATCATAGATGAAATACTGTTCTTCCCACATTGCTTCCATTTTGACTTGGTTAGACAATTTGGTGCAAGCGAGCAAAATGACCTCATTGGCTCTCCTCTCGTTTATGAACTTGGCTTCTGTTCCTCCTGTTGCTTTTCATTTGAGTTTCCCTTTTACTTTGTCCTTTCTGTCATTTTTTCCTTTTGCTTGCACTTTTCTAAATAACTCTTCCCTACTTAACTTCATCCTATGTCACTTATGTCTTCTTTATTAGTTTATCATCTTTAGTCCACATTTAGCATTTAGTCTTAAATATTACACTTCAGTGTTTTAGTATTTAGAAAATACTTTCCTAAGTCTGTTCAGTCACTGCCCATTCACTGATGACTCCTGAATCTATAAATCTGACCACACTTTCTCTTTTCCTTTGCAGAACTTCCACTTTCCCCTAAAAAGTTGACAAGTTTTTCCAGTCCATCTATTGCCTGCATCTCCTTGGCCACACCCTAGCACAGGCCTTCCTCACCTCTTGTCTGGACTGTTGCAGTTGACTCATGTTCCTTAAACGTTCTTCACTCCCATGTATGATGTCTTTTCTTATGAGACTTCTAATGCATGTAATACTCTCCTCCTGCTATTCTTGATCAAATTCTATTTACCCATCAAGTGTTGTCACAAAAACCACCTCTGGGAAACCATGAGTGTTTGTGGTCTGTTATGATCCTTCATGTCAGAATACAGATAACATCCCCTGATGTCAGAGAAAAGGAGTTCAGACATGAGAGAGATCAAAGCAACCTCGTTCAAATATAGTTTGAGCAGTAAAATTTTGAACAACTGTTCCTAACAGTTTGAAATGAAATGAAACAGTTTGAAATAAATGGTTAGGTATTCATGCTAAGACACTGTGACTTTAAGTAGTTAATTTGCCATGATCAAACTTAACCAATACTTATTATGGGTTCAGATGACATAGGTGTCCTAGTGATGCAGTAAGATATCACAATTCTGAAGATATAATCTGATAAGTCCAAGTTCAAGGACATACTGCAAAATGGTTGGCCTATACTCTGTAACACTATCAGGGTACTTAAAGGTAACTCCCCAGCCCCAAAGTGCTGGAAAACATTTGCTGATTAAAAGTAACTAAAGAGATATGATAGCCAAAGGCAGTGGATGATACTTGACTGAGAAAAAGCAACTATAATAGATACTGTGAGACCACTGAGGAAATATGAGTACAAACTGAATGTTAGGTAAGGGTACCTTCTCAGTGTTGGATGCTTTGCATGTGATAGTGATCTGTTGTACACAGGGGAATATTCTTGATCTTAGAAGGTACATGTATTGAAGTACTTAAAGATGCAATGTCGTTATGTGTATGACTAATTTAAAAACTGCAAAAAGTATGCATATAATGTATAGACAGAGATGGAAGGACTGAAGGAAGTGTGCAAATTAAATAAAGGCAGGTTTGAAAATTTTCATTATAAAAAGTTGGAGATTAAAACAAATTAATTCTCTTCTTGGGAGAGGCAGAAACTTCAAATAAGTAGTTGACTTGATGCTGGCAGAGACCATCTTGGGTTAGAAATGAGCCTTTGGTGTGAGTGTGTTTTTCACATGACATTTTCTTCTTCCTGATAATTCATGACAGTCAGGAAAGGGCAGACAGAGTCTCCCTCAAAGCATCTGAACATTTCAAGGTTGGCTTGTACTTTGTCAGGGGGTTGACAGGCCACTGACCACCTATCAGTGAAGAAGTCTGCAGTAGCAGGGACCATGGAGACATGAGAAGTATGGCTGAGGGTTTTCCATGCCTGGAACCCATGCTTGTGCCTGGGTCATAATGGCCTGGTGTTGAGAAGCCAAACCATTAAGATGGCCCAGCTGCTTGACTTGAAGATAAATAGAAAAGTGTGTTTTCAGCATAGCAATCCCAAATTATAAACACATGGAGATTTACAAAGGCATGAATAGGTATATTTTAGCCCATGAGTTGAGCTGTGGTTACAAAGAATTCAGGGGTGAAGGTGTTAAAGCAAAGTAGTTGAATATATTTCCTGGCAAGAATGCAGAGACCCTGGATCCAGGTCTGTGTTTCTTCTGTAACGATTGCTGACATATGAAGCCGTGTGGAGACTGCCTGCAGATGCTTGCATTCTTTTTTAGGTGTTAGTGATACTGTTAGCTGTTGCCAGAGAGAAAGACCTCAAATTTAGGTCTTGGCATACCCACGTCTTTCAAAAAGCTGCCCTTCCGTTGGCCAGCTTCTCTGTGTTGCACAATCAAGTCATGTCCTGAAACTAAATGTCATGGTCATGAGAGAGCATGCTGAAGGTTGTTGTCCCAAATCCTTGCTTACCATAAGAGTTTGGGGCTTATACTTTTTTTCTAGGCTAGGTCTTTATTCTGACAGCCATTTGCATGCACACATGGGAAGTGAAATTGGAAATGGAGCTATTTGGGGATTCTGCTCTCTGGTCCTCAGCCTTCCTAGGCTTTTCATGAAATATTTGTCTGCTCCTGCATGGGAATCCATGAAGATGGAAGGGACCTGAGATAAAATGAAGTTCACAGATGGAAGGACATTGTAGATACACGTGTTTTGTAGATAAGGACATCTGGCTATATAAAGGAGGAGTTATCTGCTCAAGGTGAGACAAAGAGAGAACGCTAAAATGGATTCCATGTACTGGCCACTGTGCAGGAACACATATTAATATGACAGGTTATTCTCTTGTGAGAAAGAGGCAGAAGGCAAAGACTCACTTTTTAAGTTCATCTCTTTTTCTTCCTTTTGGAAATTACCTTCAAAATACCTTTCTGAGCTCTGTGAAAGGCCTCCTTTCACTAAATGCCTCTTAGCCTGATAATGGTGGGAATTTGACTGTCACTGCAGCTCAGCACTACCAAGCAGGAGTGGGACTGCTAGACCTCATCCTACCATCTAGTAATCTCACCCTCAGAAAAAATGAATTTTTTGTCAAAAGGGATGTGAGAGATTTCAAATATAGTTAGAACTGAGCTTACTAAAAATGGGTAAAAGTGTAAGTTTTTGTAAACTCTGGGACCTTAGGAAGCTTTCAAAAGGTATCTGCTTTATTTTGTGAAACTGATAACAGAGACTTTGACATTTCATTGTTTCAGGGCGGTCAGGGCAGAAGAAATGATGAAAGGGCAGAAGAGATTTTCATATTATCAGAAGATTACAATATTGTTTTGGACAAAAGGTAGATATATGAGCTGTTGCAAGCTGAGTAGCAGGAGTGCAAGCCTTGTGCAAGCCTCATTTCTTTCTTTTTTTTTTTGGAAGAGGACTGTGCAGCAAATTTGGGTCCCAGGTGTTGTAGGTGTTCACTGGCCAAGGAAAGGTGTCCTGTAAATCCTACCTAGAGATGAGCTCTCATGTGCCTGGCTCACCCTTGTGAATGCCTTTTGTTTTAGGTATATGTTCTACAACTTCTTTCAGAATTATATTTCTAGAACCTTTACCTCCCTTCAACAGTTTACCCTATAGGCTACCTCAGAAAAAAAACTGGTGAAAGTTCTGTTCTTTGCTTCTGTCTCTCTTCTAGTTAAAGTTATTGTTTTAGGCCAAGAGGAAGGAGAAGCAGGCAATGATAGCTAAAGCTACCATAAGGACAAACATCACATTTAAGGACCTACTGTGTGCAGGTTCAGTGCTAGATTTTCCTTCTTAATCTTTGCAACAGTCCTGCAACACCCTGACTACATCTTAGGAAACAAAAGTTCAAAGAAGTAAGTTACTAGCTTTCAAGTGATAAGAGGCAGGATTAGTATTTGAACCCAGGTTTGCCTA